TCAGATCTATTGTGGACTCAGATACCTTAAATATGATCTATACTGCCCTTTGCCAATCATTAATAACGTATTGCATACCGGTATGGGCAGGTGCAGCCAAAACGACCTTAATTAAGGCAGGAAGGGCGCAGAGGGCGGTGTTAAAAGTAATAAGTTTCAAACCATACCGATATCCTACTTCTTACCTTTATTCATCATTTATTCATACATATATTTTTATCTTTATTCTTAATTCTCACAATCAGACAACTTTTCATCCTTCGAGCACTGTTACGTAAACATCTGGAGGTTCCAGCTGTTCGTGACCCAATAAAACGCTCCATGCTGATGCATGCATGATGCTGTGGAGCGTTTTATTGGGTGATTCATTATGACAAATAGATATTTGTCACAATGAATCGTACAAAAAAGCATTTCCTAAACGTTTCTTTCATATATTAAGCTCCCGGATTTACAATAAAACTGACAAAAATCAACATACACACCTTAAATAAATATGACTTTAAAATCAAATTGCAACAGTGGTTACTAAACTTAAATTACGATGAGATGGAGAAAATACGTACCTTTTAAACACAGTTAATATATTCACACAAACGCGCGCGCATGACATACATACACACACACGCATCGGTAATTAAATATTAAATGATGTATTTTTTCAATTTTCGTCCATTATAGCGAAGCTCAAGTTAAACTGGTCGATTTGAAGTGAAACAATTGACGACACCCGTCAATTGTTTCGAATTCGGGCTGGCCAGTCGGAGCGCAGTTACCGTAATGATATGGCAGAATAGTTTTCAAACAAATTAAATAACATTTCGTCTCTATTTCTGGTTATATACTTACTCGATGAATTCACTAACCTATCTTATTTTGATTTTTATTGCGAACTCCACTAATTTTGTTTTGTATCCAGTTCTTAAGTTCTCGCGATTGTTACACATAGGAAATGAAACTATTTTTCCGGATTTAAATCGCGTACATTTGTTTTTTCAAACGAACCGACGACGTTTCCGGCCCTTTACAGGGCCCATTGTCAAAATCAAATGGAATTTTTGAATGGCAATCGGGATCAATCGTTTTTTTTTATTGAATTTATTTTTATTAATGTTTTGTTTGAAATTTAAGCATGATAAATAAAGCCTATTTTTTTTAACCAAATTGAAACTTCTTTTATTGAACAATTTTTACAAGCTGAAATTGTAATCGTTTTTTTATTGGACGTCGTTGTAATTTGACAAATGTAATAGTTTTTATTTTTGTGTTTTATTATATTGTTTTATAATAACCAATTTTCCACTGAGAGTGGTTGGCCGAAGCGATTTGCGGCCGCTACTAGGAAATTGTTCGCGCACGCAGTCGTTATTAAAACTAGCCTCTAGAGCTATTTTCCAATAAGCGACTAACCGCGAGAAAACGCAGCCTTAGAGGCTAGTTTTACTTCAAGTCGCGGCCGCGTCAGTGGGTGTCAAAGGCACTCAGTCAGTGAGGAGCCAATTGATGTGCATTGTTGTCAACAGCAACGTGCAGTAAAATTAATGGATGTATACATTGACTTACAATTATATGGACGTCGGGTCCGCGCTAAAAAGTGTCCGAACTTATAGGGCGTTAAAATCGTATACAGAGCGTCATTCACGCTCTAGTCTTCGTTTGTTCGACTGACAGGGAAGCAAGCAAAATTAGACAGTAGTGCGATGACATTACAATTTAAATTCAACGTTTTAGCTTTTTCATATTCCTTTACATGTCACTATGTTTAAATAGATTGACTTGAGACATTTTTTTCGTGGTTTTTGTATTAGACCCGTCGTCCATTTATTTGTAAGTCAATGGATGTATAGGTTTACGATACAACTCAGCATTTGTTTTTCGAAATTCGAAATTTTTTTAAATGAAATCTAATACGATCGTCACTTATAGGATCGCTGTCCAGCACAACTACCTCCGCCAAACTCGCGTCAAAGCTCAATGCAAAACAAAGCAGTTTCGAATTGACGATATGTTAAGTAAACATTTTTATTTTCGTTTTATTAAAACTTATTAATCAGCTACCCCTTGCAGTACTAGTTATAAATGTAAAAACTTATAGATGTGACTCGCATTTGATTATATTTTTTAACCGACTTCAAAAAAGGAGGAGGTTCTCAATTCGTCTGTATGTTCTTTTGTTCTTTTTTTTTTGTTTTTTTTTGTATGTATGTTACGCGATAACTCCGGTATTTGTGAACCGATTTTCGTGATTCTTTTATTGTTGGAAAGGGGGTAATTCCATAGTGGCCCCATTTCATTTTGAAGAAAATCATCCACCTCAAAGGGTGGCTGTTCACGCATGAAGATTCATTTTTATAAATAGCGCCTAACTTTAATTTAGGAGCAATTACTTTTAGCAATTATTTAGTTGATTTTGCTATTTCTCCAATTCAAGGCGTTTTTCTCTCGATATACTTTCAGTAGTGTCGTAGTGAGAACCTATTTTTATTATCTCCAGTATCAAGTCCTGTATAGTGGCGAACTAGGGGATACTTCAATGAAACTTAGCAAATTGACGTAATTCCACGTACTTTCGAGGTCGGTTTTTTTAGTACTCTGTACTGAGATTATTATTTCGTTAATGAATTGAGATTTGACGTCACTATTGCAATCTGTCAAAACGGCCATAGCGTACTTAAGACGGATTTTTGCTATTTTCGCAGCTCCCCAAAATAAATTCTCAAATGCAATCGCTACAAGGAATCAAAGCTTATGAATGAAATGCTAAGTGATGAGGTACCATTGTTTGTTCCCTTGAGTGGTACACTGTTGGGCGGTATCGGGAATCCATTAGGGTCTTTGTATCGCATTTAGACGCGCGGGAAATCTCCTTAAACGCTCAATGATTTGTTTGTCTTTGAGTTCGTGAACGTTTTGTTTGAAGCACGAATTTTTGTGCATTAATTCTCCGAACATTCGTTTATAAGAGATGGGATTATGATAGTAAAAAGGATTTATTATTATCGTGAAATACATTGACTTACAAATAAATGGACGACGGGTCTAATACAAAAACCACGAAAAAAATGTCCCAAGTCAACCTATTTAAACGTAGTGACATGTAAAGGAATATGAAAAAGCTAAAACGTTGAATTTAAATTGTAATGTCATCGCAGTACTGTCTAATTTTGCTTGCTTCGCTGTCAGTCAAACAAACGAAGACTAAAGCGTGAATGACGCTCTGTATACGATTTTAACGCCCTATAAGTTCGGACACTTTTTAGCGCGGACCCGACGTCCATATAATTGTAAGTCAATGGTGAAACTATATATATTTTTTACTTCTTAAACAGACCCTTATCTTTCTACTTAAGTTTTGTTTATAGTGCCCTTCCTATCAAAGTCTTGGTTATACGGAAAGGACACTATTACTTGTGCAAGAAAGCCAGCACATGGACCTTATTCATCTGACTCCAAAGGCTAGAGCCTAGGGTGAGCGACCTCGGAGCACGTACAGCACCCTCCCTGTAGTACTGACAAGTACCGGATTTCATTTATTTTAATAAGAGTGAATAAAACTGCTTATATTAACGTAAACATAGTAGATTGTACAACAAGGGCATAAAGTGACCCATTTTTATCCGAGGCCATTTTTTGGTCTGAGCGTAGCGAAGACCAAAATAGTAGACGAGGGTAAAAATGGACATTTATGCCCTTGTTGTACACTCTGCTTTTCACTTCGATTGTGAGGAAAATAAAACACATTTTATGTAGGTATAAAAATAATATAATAAGTTTTTGTCACCTACGACTGCATACTCGTAGGTGACAATTTGATTGCTCAGTAAAATTGTGCAATATGTAGTGACTGTTTGGCTGTTGAGATTGATTACCTTAGTCTTAGAAAAAAAAATTACTTTTATGCTCTAGAACATAAAATGCGATTTTATGTCGTCTACGTACGACACAAAGGTGCACTTTTTGAGCATGAGAAGTGAAAAGATTATTTAAGCTGTTGTTAGTAGTAGGTGCTCGATTTTTGAATGTACGGGTACGCACTGTACGTGTTTTATTAATATTCACGTTTTATAATTTTTATTTTACTATCATGATACTCAATTATTTTTGTACGAAATTACTCCACTGGTTTGTTATAATTATTAATACAAAGATCGAACATAAAGAAAAATTCCTTCGATCTGGCTGAATTCGAACCAGCACCTTTAAACATACTGTGCCAGATGCTCTCCCAACTGAGCTACGGAGCGAACCACCAGACCTAACGAATTTTTTTCTATGTGTTTCTTGTAGATCTTTATTTTACTCTTTAACACTTGCTTGCCGTTTTTTTTTAAATTCATGTTTTATTTTAACGTTCAAAAGTTATACCCTCGCGGTATAAAGTTACATAAGTACGTCAAAACTGCTTTTATCACATGTAGTAGCAGTAGAGCTCCTCGTGAAAGAGTTCGTCCAGGGAAGTACTGTCACCTTACCTATTTCTGCCGCCAAGCAGTAATGTCAGCATTACTGTGTTCCAGTTTTGAAGGGTAAGGGTGCTGGTGAAATTACAGGCACATGGGACATGTCAACTTATGTCTCAGGGTGTCGGGCGCATTGGCAGTGCCCCTCAGATCTTTGCGGTTTAAAGCTCTGAATGGCACTGCAATTGTTACGCCGAGACGGCCGAATGGCAACACAGAACAGTAATACAAGCATAACAGACTAAGCTAACGTCGTTAGTACATGTAAAAATATTTGTACAAACATTCCATAGTCATTTAAAAATATAATTCCATTGCCCAGGGAAATAATGCACGCTATCTTCCCATATTTACGCACGTCTTCCTTCATTCCAATATTTATGTCTATCATTCGACGTATCGACGTTCGGATGAGTTATTGTTACGATTTTCATTTAAACGACTATATCGACTTATCGACCAAATGTTGCGACGATTTTCTTTCATTAAGTACTGTACGCAGAACTAAGTGAGATAATAAAATGAGGTGTTCAATGTAACCTTTAAGTGCTGGGCAGATTCGTTTCCAAAGCGTCAGACACCCACAGCGATGATACTGCCCCAGCGCTAGCTCCATGAAGAACAGTGGCAGACCACCAAACAGCAGCATCACGCAGTACGGGATCAGGAACGCGCCTAGACAAAGACAATTATTTAATTTAGGTATTTTGTAATAAATAAATAGAATCTAGAGAATTAATAACGGAGACCTGTGAAGAGACCATACTACAGTATGGCAGTATGATAGTGTGATAAACCTCTCCGTGACCATATATATTTCACTTGATAAAGCTAAGTTTGCTTATTTGGTAATGAACTATTGTTATACATTTTGAAGAACAAGGACAACGATATGAAATTGCACATAGCTATCTTTAACGTTTAATGAACGCCGCGAAAATGCTGAAAGAAAAAGTTGTTGTAGTTTCTGTTTTTACATAATTTACATTATATTAGGAAATGAAACTATTTTTCCGGATTTAAATCGCGTATATTTGTATTGTATAATATACGCGATTTAAATCCGGAAAAATAGTTTCATTTCCTATGTGTAACAATCGCGAAAACCTAAGAACTCGTTACATTATATTAGTTATTTTTTTACTTATTTCTAATTACTCTCATATATTGAAATGTATTAAAATTGTTCTCATCACATGTTTTAAATGTTTTATATATATGTATCAATTTGTTTGTTTTTATTATTTCTTTTTATTTGAGCGCGACAAACGAAAGAAGAAGTCTAAAAAGAAGTCTAAGATAAAAAGAATTTTACGTTGATAATATTACTGTAAAGAATTGTCAAAATATTTTTAAACGTGTGACCTTGCAGACATGTTTGGCACTGTGTTGATCTTTCGCGATAACTCTCTCACCATGACTCGCCATGTTAGCTATTGTGATAAAATTTTAAAATGCCTGTTTATCACTCGAATTTGAGAGCTACATGTGGATATAATAGCTTTATCGAGGCGGTATACTACGGGGGCTGTAACAAAAGTTCGATTGTAGCACCGCACAAAGTAGTAACGCGTCTTAAAGAACGAATTGAAAAGATATCCTTTTAAATTGTTACAAACAATTTCATCTGAAATCGAGATCCCTTTTGTGACTTCCAGATTGGACAAATTCCATCAGACATAATTATTGAATTATATTTGAGGGGTAGACCACAGAACTGGAGTTTGTATATAGGAAGTTGCAACCAGATTACGTTTTTATATTGTTTTATGTTGGTTCACGCGTGTCGGTCCGAGGCCACCTGTGGCGCGAGCTCGCTCTTGAAATCATGGGCCGTGAGAAGCCAGCATTATAGTGCTTTTCCACCGGCGAGGCGAGACGAGACGAAGCGAGGCGAGAATTGAAATCTCGCCTACCTATTTCCACCAAAAATTGCCATCGCGAGCACACGGTCTCGCGCGATATCGTACGAGACATCGTGAATCGTGTTTCCGTTGCAGAGTTAAGAAGTAAGGAAGTAAAGAGTCTATGTAGGTAGCAATACGGTTCAATGTTACATCAACAAATATTTCATATTTCTCGTCTCGCCTATCCTCGTCAATCCCGACCATTTCCACCGAATATGCGCTAGGAGAGAATTTTATATGAGAGATATTTTGCCATACAAGTTTTAAAAATCGTCTCGCCTCGCCGGTGGAAATACACCCTTACACGTTCGAAATTTTCGGATCTTGACAGCTGTATATTAATAACTTGAGCCTTTTTAATGCAGAGATGAAGCGTCTTGGTTGTGGTATGCTGTTTACAATATCTTAAAAAAAACACTCACCGCCTCCGTTCTGATAGCAGATGTACGGGAACCGCCACACGTTGCCGAGATCGACGGCGAAGCCCACCACAGCGAGCAGAAACTCCGCCTTCTTGGCCCATGTTTCCCGCTGCCGAGCTGGTGTCAGGGACACCACTAACGACCGCGTCTTTTGTGGCTGCTGTCACAATAGACACCATATATATATATTTGCCTGGTTTCATATATATATATGAAACCAGGCGCTCACTACGAGGAAAAAGGAAGCTAAGTACGCGCTCAGAGAGATGAAAATAACGTTGTTCACCGTGTGCTGTCGTGCGGAACCGAGTGCCGGGGTTGTACAAGGATTGTAATGTAAATTAAAGACTTGCCTGAGCGCTTGCATTGTCGTTGATACACATTGACTTACAATTATATGGACGTCGGGTCCGCGCTAAAAAGTGTCCGCACTTGTAAGGCGCTAAAATCGTATACAGAGCGCGACACTCCGCTTTAGTCTTCATTTGTTCTACGGACAGCGCGATACTGCGATGACATTACAATTTAAATTTCGAATAGGTTGACTTGGGACATTTTTTTCGTGGTTTTTGTATTTCGCGTAACCTCGAGCTAGTGACGGAGCCCTGCTAGTGTCTTGCCACAATCATTTTGCGAAACCACGAATTTTTGGAAAATAACCGATGAACCGATTTTGATGATTCTGTATTTGTTGAAAGTACCTCTTTCCGTTAACGGGTTTCCATAAAACTTGGCAAATAGACGTAATTCCACAAACTTTCAAGGTCTTTTTTTCGAAATAAAATAGTTACAATTATTACATACTTTGATGTGGTAAAAGCATTATTGAGGTATGATCACATGTGGTTTTATTATACCAAGGTTACGATTTCCGTTAGTAGCTAGGGAATATGCTGTCCCGACGCCTCTTGAATCGTCTCGCGAGTGGCATCCTCGTATTCTAATTGCGTTTACGTAGCTATGAATATAAGTAAAGTTGTTACTTACGGGGTTGTTAGGGGGAGGCAGCAGTGGTTGTGCCGGTGTCTGGTCCGGCGGCGGGTGCGCCGGCGGCGGCGCGTCGCCCGGCGGCATGTCGTCCAGCGCCGGCGGTTCGCACTCGCCCTCGCGCCGCTCCCGCGCCGGACTCTCCCCCTACGCAATCATAACTATTAGTAACAGGATTTAAGAGATCTGTAGACCAGAACGCAATAAGTATATTGAACAATGCTATCTCAGCAACGTTTTTTTCCTGGGAGCACGATTATAACACATTGTAACTGCAATAAGTTACAACTGTCATTTCACTCCCAAAGTAAAGAAATGGTTTGCTCCTATTTGCCAAAAATAGAAAAATAAGTGTTTCTTTTAAATAGACGAGGTCTCTCTTAAACTTTAAATGAATATAAAAAAAAAACAAAAACACAAACTTATTAATTAATCCTTTACATCAATAACATGATTCACAATCAATAATATTCAATATATTTATTGCATTCATATAGTATACATGTCTTAGATTTAAAATAATGCTACACTTATGAGCCCTTTATTAGGGATAACAATAACAGCAGAGGTAGGCCGAGGTTTCAATTATTAATTAAAATTGTTATTTATCAAATAATAATAAAAAATATGTCATGTAATAAGAAAGAAATACGTCATATTATGAGTAGAATTACGTCACTTTAAAGTTGGAATTTAATTAGATTACAATAGCATAACTTTATAGTATATAATTAACATTTATTTATTATTCAAATTTATTATAATACCATTATTTTTATTTGTCATCAAAATCATATACGTTGACATCATAATTGTTAACTAGTACAATTTAAGCCCTTATTATTTAGCATAGATCTCTCAATCCAACTCAGAGAAGCACAAACAACTTAGTCGTGTCACCTTAATAGTAAAATAAAATAATGTATACTTTAAAATGTCGTTTAAAAACGCGTTTGTGCGCTGCATTCGAGGATCGAGAGAGAGAGACTATACAAATCTAGAAAACTCGGAGCAACTCCGGATATCGTTATGCAATATTAAGTCCTATTCTAATTCGAGAAAATACACACATCGCTTGTACTAGCCTAGAGATAAAATGATTCCTGTGACATTTCGGGCCGTCATTTCTTGGAATCGGAACTGATACGAATTATAATGGTTAATCTACCGCCTCTCAATCAGAGGCCGTGGGTTCTAATCTCTGCTCGCACCTCTGAGTTCCAGAATTTATGTACGAAATCTAATTTGATATATACATCGAGTATATAACCAGAAATAGAGACGAAATGTCACTTAATTTGTTTGAAAACTATTCTGCCATATCATTACTGTGACAACTACGCTCCGATTGGCCCGAGTTCGAAACAATTGACGAGTGTCGTCAACTGTTTCACTTCAAATTGACCAGTTAACTTGAGCTTCGCTATAATGGACGAAAATTGCAAAATTACATATTTAATATTTAATTACCGATGAAATGTGATTCCGTTTGTTTTGTAATTAGATGTTTTGCTGTTTTTCCCACACCACCGAATAGAACAGCACGGCATTGTTAGAGATATTATCTTTATTACAATAAATACAGAATATTTTTTGGAATATACGGAGACGTACACCCAGGTCAGTAGTTGACCTGTCTATATTTCAGTGCAAACGAGAGTTGATATTTATAAGAGCTGTATCGCTAATGTGTTACCAGGAATATATGGCCCTTATTTCGTCTCTATTTCTGGTTGTATATTCTATGGAAATATACGATGAGCTTTTCGGTGAAGAAAAACATCCTCATAAAACTTGCAAGTCGAAGAAGGTTCCTTTGAAAAACGTCAAATCCCCAACCCGCTTTGGGTCAGCGTGGTGGACTATGGCCTGAAACCCTCGCCTGGTAAGAGCTCCGTGCTCAACAGCGGGATGTATAAATAGGTAGATGATGAAGATAATTTGTTTCATGTTGTTCGTATTATTTTTACGATTTTCAGTTATGACTTTATTATATCATCAAATCATGGTAAACTACCACCTAACTTGTAAGTAAAAAATATCACGAGCCAAGAAATACACGTCTGAAATTCATTTCCAGAGAATTCATTAAAAAGTCGATAATATTTGACAATGTCAACAGCTGACAATTCGCCTTGTTGACCGAGTGGCGTGGACAAACAGGCAAACATCGCCAATGGCTTTGCAAACATGAGTGATAGAACTGACCCTGAGGAACGAGTTTACTTTTTAATACTTTTACATTTTTTTTATGATATCACGTGACGGGGCGAAGAAGACGTACGCCTGTCTATAACAGCTGCAGCTACCGCTCAGAGCTTTAAATCGCAGAGACCTGAATAGTACACAAGTGAGGGTTTAATAGTAAGGCTAACTGAAAATAAAACATATTTTAGAGTGGTTACACACAGCGATTTTTAGCAGCGATTGTAGCGTTACACTTGCTATTTAAACTTATAATACAACTGTTATTTTAGTAACTTCTTAGATATGAGACAAGCAATTCAAATGATGCTATTTAACATGGTATGACAATATATAATTTTGGATATTGTACGTCTTACGGACGGATGACACACATGCACACATTCCACACAATTACACACTTACAGACACGTATACACATACTTGCACTCACACACACTAACACTTAGGCTAATCTATTTTAGTCTGAAAAGTTAAAAATTACTGTAATTAGTGAAATTTGTATTAGTCGTAACACCAGTTATAGTAGATATTAAGGTGTTTCATCACCTTCAAACAATATAAGAGTAAGATTACTATTAATATTATAGGAGAGCGATGTTTTAAAACAGGCCTTAACAAGCTTAAACAACCGCCCCTGTGCAATGCCCTTTAAAATGAATGAATAAAATATTTTTATTTTATTTTTTTATTTATTTATTTTATTACTTGCGATTTACAGGCGATTGCATCGATGCAGTCGCGCGTTTGCATCGCGTGTGGATCGCTGCTTATAGTCGCGCGTGTGTGTAAAGGTAGACGATTAGTTATTCGACCGCTCTAAGAGCGGTTACACACGACGTCTTTACAGTAGCGATGCCATCGCTAATCTTCTACCTTTACACATGTGCGATTTTAAGCAGCGATCTAAACGCGATGCAAGCGCGCGACTGCATCGTTATATTTGGGATTTATAGGCGATTGCATCGGTGCAATCGCGCATATACCTAAATGGCTATGGAGTGGAATTCCCTGTCTGCAGACTTGTTCCCTGAACGTTACAACGTGGACCTTTTCAAAGCGAGAGTGAATAGGCATTATTTAGGTGTGCATGCTCCATCGTCGACCTTATCGTCACTTTCCATCAGGTGAGATAGAGGTCAAATCGCGAAAGTAGCGATGCAATAGCACGTCTCACGAACGCGTCTTGTGTAACCCCTCTTAGTTACGCCAGTTATCCGCGCCGATAAAATTTAATCAAACACCAATCACTAACTGATGAGACTCGCATGTTGAAAAACTTCACAACCCCGTGACAAACGTGTTAGGTCCCCAACCCACATTGTGCAAGCGAAAAGACACCTGTACCTAGCAGCGGAACATATAATACGTAACGTGTAATAACGATTGATGATGGTAATTATTTATGTTGTTTATTAAAAGTTTGAATACTACATAATTTATTTTCTATGTAGTTTTTAGCAACAATAGACCTCTTTGTAAAAGAGTTCGTCCAGGTAAGTACTGCCACCTTATTTATTTCCGGTTCCGGTTTTGAAGCTTATTGGTTGTGGTTGCGTCGTCACGAGAATTTTTGTTAAACATAAGTACAGAAGTCTAAAAAGCAATTTCTTTTTGCGGGGGTGTCTTCTCATCATTTGTGTTTACAAAGACGTCTGCAATGTTTGTTTACTTGTTGACAAACGTTTACAAGCCCTCCGAAGCGCGCTCTGGACAATTTACGACTTACCACGCGGTTGACGAACTCCTTCACTACGACAACTGTAGCAAAAATCGTTACTTTACAATTATTCCAGCTTTTAGGTTTTTGCGGTACTAAACCAAATATTTTAATTATCTACATAATTTAAGCAATAGCATTTAACTAAATCTCAAAATCAAAAGATCACACTATCGCAGTCAGCTCAGGTAGCTTTCCATTCGTCTCCGCAGGATTTTGTATATCGTCTCTGTTCTTCACAACATTCTACAAAATCCTTTATCTCCCAGGTATCTGAAAGAGCGTTTCAGCTTTCTCAGGTCCCAGGATAAGCGCTCTCGCTCTCTCGTTAGGTCGCAGTTATCTTTTCCATATCACTCCTTCACTGTTCGTGTGGTCAGACTTTGGAACGCACTTCCTATTGCTGTTCATAATTGTAATGAGAGTCTAGGAGCACTATTTATCCTCTGTTCCATCCATTTTATAGACATAATAACATGAAATATGTATAATTAAGTAATTAATAATAATTTATAATTTTGTTTTGTTGCGCACGTAAACCCGTTAATGTAATTATTGTGTTCTATATTTTGATCTGCAGGAAGAAATTTCTTTTGGAAATAAGCAGTACCTGTTGTTTGAGTTTTCCGTTTTACTAAATGTTAGTGTTTTCCTCCACAATAAATTATTAAATAAACAAGATCAATAGTTATGGTGTGCAATGGTATGGCGCACAAACCACATTAATTCAATCAAGTGACGGGCCATCTGTTTGACGAGCAAAGTGCCTTGGCAACATTCTTTGGGCTAGGTTGGTTAAAAAGTTAATCTGATTCTTTTGCGAAAATAACCATTTTTTTATTGAACTTCAGAGATCTGTGGGGCTTAGTCTCTGCGCTCGTCACCCTGGGACAAAATTTGGCAAGTCACATGTATCACCTGTGTCTTTCAAAACTGGAACGCAGTAATGCTCACAATACCGCTTAACTGCGAAAATGGGTAAGGGGGTAGTACCTCCCTGGACGTACTCTTTCACAAGGTGCCTTACTGCTACTTCCTGATCTACTTATTAAATGTTTTTTTTATTGAATTGAAAATTACGTGTTTTTGAGTCCGCGTAATTTTTAAACTACTTATATAAATAATTGAAAACTGGTGGTGGTTTTAAGACTACAGTCCTGGGTTTCTGTTATTAGTTTCCAAATTTAAATTTAAGTGCTATATCGCATCTTCAATAATAAAA